AGCTGCCTTTTGGCTGGGTATAGCTGAATGAACCTGATTAAAAGCTGGATAAAATCAGCTGTTTTTTGAACTCAGCTATATAGGTAGCTGAATACAGATCTCTGGCTTACTTGATACCTGAAAAATATCAATAAAATATCAATAAAAATATCAAGCTCAAGCATGTACAGAAGAGGGCAACCAGGATGGTGAGAGGGTTGGAATCCAAGTCTTATGAGGAAAGGTTGGGTATGTTTAGCCTGGGAAAAAGAAGGCTTAGAGGGGACATGATTGCAATCTTCAAGTATTTGAAGGGCTGTCATGTAGAAGATGGAGCAGATCTATTCTTTCTTGCTCTGGATTGCAAGACTAGATCTAATGGGTGGAAATTACAAGGGAGTCGATACCGGCTAAATATCAGGAGAAACTTCCTAACTGTAAGAGTGGTTGAGCAGTGGAACAGACTGCCTTGGGAGGAGATAGATGCTCCTTTGCTGGATGTTTTCAAGCGGAGGCTAAATGACCATCTTTCAGGTATGTTGTAGGGCTATCTTTCGGCTATGCTCCTGCAGAGTGCAGGGGGTTGGACTAGATGACCTGTAAGGTCCCTTCCAACTCTAACATTCTATGATTCTATGGTCCCGTCCACACGAGGGGATTTGGGCCAGTTGCGGGACAGTTCGGGGGCGGATCAAAGCAGCGCGATCACACCACAACATCTGGGAAGCGTCCTGCTTCCGTACCCGAACTGGCCCTTTCCCCAGAAAAGCCGGCGCAAGTTGAACCACCTACCTTGGTGGTTCAAATGGAAACGGCGCTTCTAGCCGTATGTTTGATCGCCGGCGCGTCCTTGCGCCGGTACAGCCCCGGCCCGGAGCCGAACTGCGCATGCTCCGACATGCGCAGTTCGGCCGGCTCCTGGTTAGGGCCATGTTTTCTCCCCGGTGTTTGATCGCGCTGGGGAGAAAAGGCGCGGCGGCCAGGGGATCCGTGGGATCCCGCCACGGTGTCTCAACGTTGGCGCGGCTTTTAAAAGCCGCGCCTTAAGAGGCTTTTCCCCTGCCGTGTGGCAGGGACCTATGATTCTATAAGGTATTTTTCAGGCATGCATTCGGCTCGGTTTATGCCGAATGCACACACCTAGTCCTAACTACTAAGAACCCAGTTCTAACTAGTACATTCCGCAAGACACATTCATTTAAGTGAAGAGAGGGAGTTCCATTTAGGACCTAAGCCTGTCTCTTAAACAGACAGGTGCCATATGCTACAGCCAGGATTATTGCCAAAATGGTGATCAAAAAGCATCTTCTGACACTTAAGATTATTTTCTTTGACCAACAAGAGTGAAGGAGTGGCATCCTACTTCCTCCACAAATATACAAATAAATTAACATAACATCTATGACAGCAGGTAGCATAGTTGCCTCCATCACTCTGCAATTGAGATAGCCACCATTAAAGATTGTCAACTCATAACTGGCAACGTTAACTAACAGCAAGTGTCCTGTTCCTCCTATAGGAGTACATTTGCACTGGGGGGTGCATAAACATAGCTCTCCCTTAGAGGTGTACTAATTCAGTAGTATGCAAAACTCCACAAGCACCAGACCATTGAAAAGAGTACTTGGTGCTGAATCTGCTGACTACTGTGAAGACCGAATTTGACAACAATTCTAACTCAGTTTGACAACTGTCAGTTCAAACTTTATGTTGTCGGAGGCTTTCACGGCTGGAGTTCATTAGTAGTTGTAGATTTTCTGGGCTGTATGGCTGTGGTCTTGGCATTGTAGTACCTGACATTTTGCCAGCAGCTGTGACTGGCATCCTCAGAGGTGTAAAACAGAAAGACGGAGTACTCTCTGTGTCAATGTGCGAAGAAAAATGGTAGGCAGGCAATTTATATCTACTCAGGTAAGGCTGATTCTGGAAAATCTACAAGAACTAAAGTTCAAACTTTGTTTTGTAATAAAGCTATTTTAAAAACTGTTCTTGAGCTAAGATTATATGTTCTTTAAAATTGTCAAGATACTAAGCTCTGTGTTGTTTGAGTATAGTTTTGTTCTCAAGAGAGTAAAGAAATAGCATCTATAAAACATTTGGGTGTTTTCCTTATCAATACATTGCATAGCATCCCACAATAATTTTCATGTTGCATTACACAAGGTGAGAAAAAAATAATTCAAGCTACATTTCAATGCCATTGAGATAACGATACAAAGCAGCCAAGCCTGTCTATTTAATTCCACAGCACAGCTGACATGTGGCCCTAATTTGCAAAGTTGTGTCTTCTTGTTCTTTCCTAATAGCTTGATCCAATATAAATGATTCTTTTGGTTATGTGGAGCCAGCCTGTGGAATTCACTGCTGTTGGTGGTCACAAAGTCATATGCTGTAACAAGCTTATTACAATGGCTAAATAATTTCATAAGTATTAATATAGTTATCCATGCTGAGGTGGGAGTAATTAAATCTCATGCTTCAGGAATCAAAAGCAGCGGTTCCTCAACACATTTTGCTGAAGATTTAAATGGTCTGACCACAGCGGTACAATTTGTGAGTGGAATTGGAGGAAGAGACAGAGGTCATATACTGGTTCATATACAGTGGTCACGTAGTGGCTCAGTTTCCACATCATAATTCCAGTTCTGTGGTCTGCAGATTTGGGAACACACAAAGAGCTTGCACCGTCTCTATTTTCCTCTTACATGTAGAATTCTTCCTGTTTATTTGTTCTGTTCACAGTGTACTGTGACAATCAAATTGTGAAGCCACTGTTTGCCCTTAATAGCACTTTCTCTAAATCGTTATTTACAAACTCAGTTCAAACCATGGTCTCAGTTCATTATTTGAGGAATCCTCAGAACGGATTTTGCAGAGTGGTGCACAAACAGAAATATGTATCCTTTCTGTTTAGAAAATGTAGGTATGTTATAGAATTTAAAACATTAATGTAAACCAGTTACTTTCAAATTTCTGTCCTCCAGCAAAGATTCCTTGCATATCTACCATGGTATTTCACATATTGCAGAGAAATATGTTCTAAAATATTCACAGTAATTTCTAATGAAATATTTGTCATTTGTCCTGCAAGAACTTCAGGGTACATGATAGAACACACCCAGGATTCGTCTGCAGTTGCACACTGCAAGAGAAACTGATGGTAGTAAGAAATTTATCTTTGATAAAGCCCTGATAGGCTTCTGAGAAATCACCAGGGTTCCCTGGAACACAGTTTGAAAATTATTGATCAAAAGGGGGGACACAAAAATGTGATCTGGCTCAGTCATTTCGTTTCCGAAAATAATGCCTTGCTAAACTCATAGGCAGTAATCTGGTGATCAATCAGATTTGCAGCTCTAATTTAGGTAACCCTGCTTGAAATAATTGCTGTATAGAAATTACTGTTTTACTTTCATAAATGCAAAGATTGAAAGAATAAACTTCAGATAAACTGCCAAATGTCTCAGAAAGAATTAGCATCTGAGTCATCACTAACATTCAAAAGCTTGGTTTCCAGTTCCAGAAATAGACCAATATGGGCAGCAATCAACAGTGATAGTATATATGTATAACAATAAGCAGTCAAAGTATGCGTAGAACTCAGGGAGGAGGTGTTGGTGAAAGAAATTATGATGAATGTTTATGGTGAATGAAATTATGATGAATGTTTGCTTGCATATGTAATCTATGCTGATCTATCTTTAAACAAGCACTGTGTGAAACTTAAATCCCATTGCTTTTACAGCAAAGAGAGAGAGAGAGTGTTTAAATTAGGATGTGCGATCAGATATATCCAGTCTGAATATATACAAAAATATCTTATTAGTATTTTCAGGTCTTTTCAGAATCCAGATAGCTATTCAAGAATCTAAGTAATACTGGTATCCCAAATATCCCCAGAAATATTCAAGAAAATCTGGGGCTGGCATTTTAAGAATCCAAACTTGGTGGTTGCTGTTTCACTTTTTGCAGATTTCCCAGGCAACAGGAGGGAAAGGGGGAGGGAGGTAGCACTTACAGGCAAATGGTATCACGTGTTAGGGGGAGCTTGCCACTATAGTTCTCTTGGCTTCTGTGGTTTGGCACTGGTTCTCTTGAGCTGGTCGTAGTGACCCTTCATTTGCTTCAGTTGGTTTAGGTGGATTCTGTGGTTTAACACTGGATGTTTTAGGTTTGCCACATTGGCCTGTGGTTCTTCTGGGATTCTCTTGTTTGACATTGGTTCTCTTGGGCTTGTTGGTTCTGTTTGCAATGGGAGGCTATGGGCCAGTGGTTGCTTGCTGTGTGTTTGGCTATTCTTTGCCCTGGAGAAAGCATGGAACCTTTTTCTCAATGGAAACAATGGGGGATGACTGGGGGCATATTGTTCAGGAGCCCATAAAATAGGACTCCTTGGTCCAATTCAGTTGAATCTTTGAGGGGGTCTTTAGTGGATAGGCAATTTTGCAATTTTGGCATTATTTGCCTTAAAAACAGCAACTCTAGCCGCCCAGAAAGATCCCTCCTAGGGAATAATGGACCCAAATAATTTTGGAATCCCAAGAAATACCCTAATCCAGATATTGAATTTATATTGGAGACCTGATTAACAAAGAATATTTATATTATTGCCCTCTCTGAAATCCAGATCCAAAAAATACTTATTTTTTCAGTGTACATCTCTACTTTACATTACTTTGCACTATCCCCCCCCCCCAAGTTAAGGTTGTAGATGTGCATTCTGTTGACATCTATAACAAAACTCTACTTTATTTGAAGGCTTTGGATTACCTCTTCTGTGTTTAGTGAACAGAGGAAAAGGTTATACCACATTTCACAGAGCTTTCCACTATCTCAATACCCTGGGAATGAGAAAATATCAATTTTGTTTCTTGCTTAGCTTTTGAGTAAATGCTGTGAATCACTTGAACTAACCACTGACATCTTTCAGCTTGTTAGCATGGAAATGTATTTTTTGTTTCTTTACTGCCTTTTACTGTTGAATGTTCCAAATAATATACATTTACTGTTTCATCTTCCAGAGCATGATGAATGCCTCACAAACCAACACAACTGTGATGAAAATGCACTGTGTTTCAACACTGTGGGAGGGCATAACTGTGTCTGTAAACCAGGTTATACAGGAAATGGCACCGTGTGCAAAGGTAAGCAATGAGAACAAAAATCAAATTCCATTCTAAACTCTGGGTTTTTTTCACTGATACCAGAAAAGCTGTGTACCTTTTAATAATTCCAGTTCAACAAATATAAGGAAGGTAAAGGCACAATTAAATCATTTCAGCATTAGATCTTATACATCTAACAAATCAAACAGCAAAAGCATGCTTACCAATACCTGTGGATATACTGGAAGATCATGGCTATAGCTTCCTGGCACACATATCCATGCAGTGGTAAATGTGTGTGTGTATAACAGTGGCATACTAGGGGCGGGGATGTGCTCTGCCCTGGGTGTAGCTTGAGGAAGATGCTTGAAGGGGTCCCTTGAAGCTAGTGTCATTCTGCATCCAGCCAAATGTCTTTAATTTTCAAAATGCTGTTCTGACAGCAGCCACTGGGGTCTCAGGGACGTCTGAGCATAGCAAAAAGCACTATAGGATCAGCTTGAGTTCCCTTTCTCCAAGACTGAAGCAAACTTGCTTAACAGATCGTACAACCAAGCCAGCACGCTGATAACTGCTACTGTAATAGCCAGGCTGCATGTCATTTTTCCAAGAGTCTAGCCTTTCTTTCTTCCTTTCCTTGTGCTCAGCTCAGCCAGATCTTGCAAATCAGTAGTTATGGTGTTGCAACAAGATACAACAACCTTTCCCTCTCTTAATTTCTCTCCCTATTTTCCACATTTTTCTCATTCATTTCTGTCTCCATCTAATTTTCCAGTACACCCCCCCCCCAGGTCTCAAGACAAGCTTTTGTTAATATTATGAACAGAAGGCACTGAGTTTGCTGGCACTGTACATTGCACTGGTTCTGCAGGGCTTCCAATCTCCCCCCCCCCGCTTGGACTGTGATTCTGTGCTTGACATCAGCTGGCATTCTCCTAATGGCACTGAGTTCTGTTGGGCACCCTGTGATTGCACTTGTTCTGTTGGGCTTGCAAAAATGCCCCCCCCCCTTCAATTTCTACTGCAGAGATCCTCTGGTTTTACTTTAATCCTTTGGAAACAATGGAGGATGGGGGCACCTTATTTGAGAAGTACTGATTTTCCTAACATCCAGTCTGGTGAAGCTTGCAATCACTATTTTGTGATGCTTTGGCTAGTGTTAATTAGTAAAAGTTAGTACAAAGGCAGACTCTTAGCTCTCAAAATCCCTTGTAGATGTTTGGGATGGTCAAAGTGGAAAAAAGAAGCTCTCCCAAGTGCCCATTCAGAACATGAGTGGTGTGATTGATTCCCCCCCCATCAAGTCAAAGCTGATTTATGGTGACCCTTTAGGGTTTTCAAGGCAAGAGACGTTTGGAGGTGGTTTGCCATTGCCTGCCTCCAAGTTGGCCCTGCTTAGCTTCTGAGATCTGATTAGATCAGGCTATCCTGGGGCTATCTAGGTCAGGACTAGGCTGAAAGTAATGTGACTGGCCCAAGGTTACCCAGAAAGCTTCCATGGCACAAGTGGGGATTTGAACCTGGATTTTTCAGATTACCTAGTCCAACACTTTAAGCACTACACCATGCTGGCTACCCTGCTGCAATAATGTGTTGGGATTTGATTTTTTTTAAACTGGCATGATTATATCTATATCTATATCTATCTATCTATATCTCCCCTCTGGTATATATAATTCTATTTTGGTCATGGACTCCCCTGAACATTCCAACACGCTCCAAAATCAGTTCGCTCTCTGATCGGTCATTCAGAGGGTCTCCCTATCCACTGGCTGCTTTGCCTGAGTCCTCTAGACCCTTGGAACCCAGAAAACATGGCACAGGAGGAGGTACTCTCAGAAGCTAAGCAAGGCTAACGCAGTGGCAGGCAATGAGAAACCACCTCTGAACGTCTCTTGTCTTGAAAACTCTAGGGGGTTGCCATAAGTCAGCTGTGACTTGTTGGCAAAAAAATAGAGAGGGTGTTAAAAAATTACCCACCCCAGATAACAAATAGGCTAAGTACACCGCTGGTGTAAAGTGCCATCAAGTTGCAGCAGACTTATGCCAACCCCATAGGGTTTTCAAGGCAAGTGTTTAAGCAGAAGTGGTCTTTCTCTGCAAAATCCATCCAAGTACCAACCCTGCTTAGCTTCCAAGAGCTTACAAGACTGGACTATACTATACCATTATACATCCTGAGTCCTGTTCTATTGTATGACTATGTGCATGGGCTTTTTCCATGTACATATGGAAAAAGATGAGAGATTCCAGCTTCAGAACTTGTGTACCAGCCCCTTTAAAGCCTTATATGGCCTGGGACCCACATATCTGAGGGACCACCTTTTCCCATATATGCCCCGAAAAGCGTTACGCTCTATATATCAACATCTCCTGGTTGTCCCTGGCCCAAAGGACGTCCGTCTTGTCTTGACTAGGCCAGGGCTTTTTCTGCCCTGGCCCCTGCCTGGTGGAACAGGCTCCCAGTCGAGATTAGGGTCCTGCGGGATCTTCTTCAGTTCCGCAGGGCCTGTAAGATGGAGCTGTTCTGCCAGGCCTTTGGTTGAGGCAGCGGACATCTCTATATGGCCTCCCTGAGGTGGTTGTCACCCATCTACTTACCAACCCAAATAATATGCCAGGGAATCTGCAGCCAGCTGATTTGTTAGAAGTCTGTGTTTTAATGTTTATTAATTTTAAATTGTTTAATTTTAATTGTATTTATTGTATTTTTTATGATGTTACCCGCCCTGAGCCCGCTTGCGAGATGGACAGGCAATAAATACAAATAATAAATAAATGAATAGAGGCCCCTACATCCATGTGTACTAGACCTGCATGCCCCTACAACAGCAGAGCAGGTTTTATAGGATATGGTAGAGGCCTGTCCCCCAGAGGCACCACCCCAGAGGGAGGAGATACAGTGGCAGAGGTGGAGGTGCACATGCAGGAGCCCTGCATGGTGAAAGAGACTGATTCCTTGGCTTACTGGGCTGGAAAAAAGAGACCTGTTTGGGAAGGTCTGACCAAGGTGGCAGGGCATTGATGTCTTGCCCACAAACCCAGTGAGTGGATGTTCTCTTGGGCAAAGGATGTTGCCAGTGCACACTGCTCACACTTGGAACCTGGATTTGTGGAAAAGCTGGTTTTCCTTAAGGCCAGTCTACCATTGGCAGGCTTTTCCTGAGGTGCCCTTTAAGAGACAATGGCACATTCCAGTCCACAGTACAGGACATGCTATGCTTCAGTCTGCTGCCTCCTCCTGCTGCCACTTTGCTTTTACCAACTGCTACTCCAAGACTGGGCTCATTTACTCAACTGTGTTGTGGCTAGTGCTGCTGGGGTATTTCCCAACCACTCATCCACGTGTCTCTGTCTGCTGTTCCAGTCTACCTGCCAGTGTTACCCAGGGTATTTGTCCACTCACCCAGTACCTGCCAGCCAGTGCTGCCCAGGCTATTTGCCCACTCAACAGTAACAAAAATGTCAAAGTAAACACATGTTTGTTACAAAAATATTGACATGCAACCAATACATATCTACAAAACGTCAGATACATTAATAGTCTTCAGACGACACAATGTGTATTCCACATGTTCCTAGTGACAAGAAACCATAGCAACTGGTGTTATGGCACAATTTTCACTGTGTGCCACTATTGACTAGTGGTCCTGCCTTACAGTTGTGCGTAAGATCTGACTGAATGGATCGGTGCATCAAAGCTTGGGAGTGGGATCCCTACCCCCAGACTGCCCCAGGCACAGGACCTGTGTCTTCATCGGATTCAATTTCAGTAAGCTCAGTCTAAGCCAACCAGCCATGGCTTGTAATGCCCGGTCCAGACCTTCTGGTCTGGAATCAGATTGGCTGCCCAACAACAGATAGACCTGGGTGTCATCCGTATACTGGTGACACCCCAGCCCATACCTCCGGGCGATCTGGGCAAGGGGGCGCATATAGCTGTTGAATAGCACCAGGAAAAGCACCACCCCTTGAGGCACTCCACAATCCAGTGGGTGCCTTCTGGACAGCTGTTCCCCTAGTGCCACCCTTTGTTCCCAACCTTGGAGAAAGGAGGCAAGCCATTGCAGGGCAAGCCCCTGGACTCCTATGTCGGTGAGGCGGTGGATCAGTAACTGATGGTCGACCACGTCAAACGCTGCCGACAGATTAGTAAGACTCTTGATGTCCAATCACAAATCTTAGATTGGCACAACCGATCCGAGTCTAATGGTTTTGCTAGTCTGAGATTTGTGATTGGACATCAAGAGTCTTATTAATCGGCGGGTATCTCAAGCTTGTCATGAGGGATGCTGGCTGCCATGCACTTGTGAATTCTTGGGAACTAGTGGAAGTCCCACAAACCTTATGAAGACTTAACAACTTGATAAAGTTATCGATTTGAAACAGGTCTGTTGTCTGTACCAACTTTGAAGTCTTCATGCTATGAGGGACTTATCTTTGGTTGTTAAGGTGAATGGTTGTCTCGGTCCTTACAGCATAAAGAAGATGGCTTGGTCCCTTTAAGATGGTATTTCAGCAGGGTTTATGTCCCACTTGTAATTGTATCTGTCTTAATGTAATTACACATTTTGTACTTTATTTGCACTTTACTTAATACCTTATCTTATAATGCTATAAATATTTTTGAAAAAAACAGATTTTGTTTACACTTTTCAAAGTTGCTTTTGTATGTTTGGTTGATCTCAATATTTTTGTAACAAGCACATGTTCACTTTGACATTTTGGTATGGATGATTTATTGTTTCCATAAAGTAAAATTGCTGTTTAATAGCTATCATGGTCACAGTAATTGTTATTACTTGCTCTTGTATATTATTTTATTTCACTCACCAGTAATAGCTGTCCCCTGCTCCGCTGTGCCATTTGCAATGCTACCTTGGTGACTTTTGCACTGTTCCGGGTTCATACCCAGATTGTAGTCATTTCCTAATAACTGGCACTGCTGCCTGGCAATAGTGGCTATTGGTGTGTTCACTTGCCACATCTCCGTTCTTTGGGATTGGCACAGGCACTGGGAAGGGACAGAAGGCTGAGTGAAACCTTTTAAAAAGTGGTTTGCCTTTTGGGGTTTTTTAAAGTAGAAAATGGCTATTCTCGTTGACTTTTATACAAAGTTCCAGATGTTCAGAAATTCTTGATTTTCTAAATTCCAAATCTAAAGGGCCTTAATTCCAAAATCGAAATCCAAATTCCGAAGGGTCCTAAATCATACATCAGTTAGGTGCTTAAACATTGTATGGGCACTCTGTGAGGCACTTTTTCATGGGTTTAGACCATGTCACTAGTGTAGCATTTTGATGTCCACATCTGTGTAAGTGGACCAGTGCTGTGTGTCGTTCCCACATAATTTGGACCCTCCATCTTAACCTGGGAAGGACCCATGCAATCCATCACAGTAATGCACTGTGCACTGAAACATTCCCCAGTGCCATTGTATGAACCCAGAGAAAAGCACCTCCTGAAGCATTAAAATAGAACCTCAACCTGCTGTAACGAGGTAACCACATCTATCATTACCAAAAATAATTATGTAGCAAGCCAAATTCAGACACATATCTAGCTCAAGCATAAGGACATGGGCTAGAAAGTTTCAGTATCTAGCAGATGAACAAGTGGGTTTCAAATATTTTGTGTTAGGGCATCAGGGCAGTTGTGTGACTGTTATGTTTATTTAAGAGATTCATTTATTTCATGTGTTCTATCGTAGTGCTGAGGGATCATATCATGATTTTCTTTAATGGTTTCAGCATTCTGCAAAGATGGTTGTAGAAATGGGGGAGCCTGTATTGCTTCAAATGTCTGCGCCTGTCCACAGGGGTTCACTGGCCCAAGCTGTGAAACTGGTGAGATTCTCATTTTCTTTCCAAGTGAATCTTATATGAGTTTATAAAGTCATACGATGAATTTCAAATATATATCTCAAGTGTAAGAACTGTTATGGCAGAAGAAACTGTATGTATGCTCTTTTTCTCTCCCCTCATTGGAGAATTTTTCTGGTGGTGCAAATTCATTTTGTCAGGTAAACAGGTTGACTGTATAAGCACTAGTCTTTCATGCATGGAAGAATGGCCACCATATTTTGTCATGTGTTCTTAATTGTGATGTCTTTTTCAAATATTATCAATCCCAGATCCTGGATACATATTAGCAGAGAATGTGGAATAAAAATATTAATTTAATTTAAATTAGATTTTATCAGTACTAAGCATGCATATTCTATAGGAAGCAAAAGATTTTATTTACTGCAGTTAATCATTATGGCAATATTTATTATTTACATGGTGGTATCTTATACTGCTGATGGTATCAGCTGCCATTGATTTCACTGGGTGTTCTTTCCATCTCATGGCTGTGATCTAATTGTCTCAATTATGCATTGCTTCTTGTATATTTGGGGAACAGGAAGAGGAAGGGACTTGTATCGAAACACAAAAAATATTTCTATGTTGGTTTATTCATAGGATTGCCTCTATAGTTTTGTTATTCCTTTCCAGGTTCCCAATGTCTCCTTCTCCTGCAAGCAGCAAACTTTTTTTTAGTTTCTTGCACTCACATACAGAAACACATCTGGATTGTATTACATTACTGATATTAAATAAATGAGATGGGGTTCTACACTTAGACATGACTGTCTGTGTTGAGCTCTGCTACTGCTATATGTTTCAAATTTTTGGTTGCCTCTCTAGAACTATATTAAATTGAAATGCATTGTAAACTTGTTAGATGTTCCTCAGTAGTGTTGTCTAAGTAACAGCTATTTCTTTCTTCAAATGATCCAGTGGCTGTCTTCAGGCATAATTTGGTTAACTCATTTGCTACACCTTAACACCTTAGAAAACTAACCATAGGCCCCGGTCACACGAGCGAGATTATCTGGGGAGGAAGTGAGGCTTTTTGCTCCGGAGCAAAATGAAGCACGGTATCACGATCTTGCTCAGGCCATCAGCCGCCAATCACACAGTGATAGTGAAGCATGGCAACGAAGCAGTACCGCGTTTGTGCGCGCTTGTGTGCATACCCCGGAGGCTTACAAGAAAACATCTGGTGGGACGTGGACAGATGCCGGATGCGACGGGTTACCAGCGCTTCTGTGATCAGACGCCCGCCCGCGCCCCACGTTTTCCAGATAATACTACATTTTCCCAGCTACTTAACTCTGCATCTTCAGCCGGATGCTATGGGTTGGAGACGGGTGCGCAACACTTGCCAGATGTTGCCGTATGATTGCACCCTTTTAATCCACCCAGCAGTTGTGCCTCTCGCACAAAGCCCCCTCATATTCTGATATTTATTCGTTTCATTTGTAGCTCCCCTGTCTTGCTGAAACTAAAGGTAGATTACAAAATATAAAAACAATGCAGTCAAACAGCACAAAGCGGTATTTGAACCTGGGTCTTCCAGATACTAGTCTGACACTCTTAACCATTACCCCCCTCTGGCTCTCAAATTCAAAGTGTAATTTACCAGTCTATCCACTATAACCTGCTTCAGGATTTTTCCATATCAGCTAATACCTTTTTCTGCTCATGACAGTTCACTGAAGGAGACAATAAAGTAGAATATTATATTGCATTAAAGCACTGAAGTAAATTCATACCTCACTTGGATATATAATGCTTGTATTAAAGCTTTGAATAAGAGATGGTCACAGACTTGCACAGCACTGAAGAGTCACGTGGGGTAGCAAAATTCATAACCATTCTCCAGTATATGTATGAAAAAGTAGAGGAATAGCTGAATGGAATAACATAGAAATAAATTTTATATTTTATTTGGTATCCCCTTCTCACAGTACTTTCCCTCCAAAGTTTGTCCGTGGATTATTCCTGCAATGTGTATAGATATACCATAGAGACATGAAATGCTTTTTTTTTTTTACAATAGCATAGTGGCCTAGAAATTCAAGAATAGATCATTACTCATTTTTGTACCTTCCTTTGCATGACCTGATGATTGCAGATTAAAATTCAGATCTGGTCAGTGAATTGCCTCAGTAATTGCTACAGATTAGGTCTCTCTGTAGTTGTGTCACTTTCAGTGGCAGCTAAATATTTAGCATGGGTGGCTTTTGCTCTTCATTACAGCTTCAAATTAATTTGTTCAGGTGCATTGACCACCATAATAGAAAGATTCAGATTATGACCGTTCCAGGGGAGTTTGTATAAAAGGTCTAATTCCAGTACTCAAACCAGTTTAGAAAAATAGTTTTACTAGCGCTCGCAATATAATTTTGTGTCAAAGCTACCACAAAACCTGTTAAGTGTGCTGATACTGCTAAACCTGCTGGAGTATTTTAGCACTATTAACACCACAAGAGAAATTGTTTTCATTTACTGCTTTGTTCAAATGAAAGCAATTACAACATGCACATGGCTAATAATGCTCTAAATCAGGGATTGTTAATTGGCAGCTCCTGGGGTGGATTAAGCCCCAGAGGCAAGTCTGTCTTGCCTTACTAAATTTTAGTTAAAGTATGGCAAAAGGCTTTCCTGCAACTTTGCTCACCTCTTGGCACAGAAGAAAAGCTTCATTTTCCCCTTCTAGTGCAGACTGTACACTACTAGTCACTCAGCTGCCACGCACCTGTATAGTAGTAGCAGTAGCAGCCCTAGTGCCTTCAGTGCTTACTCTTGATATTATCTGAATCCTCCTCCACCATCTATATATATAAAATAACTCCCCTCACCGTAAAATCAACACCCAGGCCAAACCACTGGACCTAGAAACACCAAATTCGGGGAGAGCGCTCCTACCATGGCATAGGTGCTTGCTAAGAAGGGATTTCTTTTAGAAATTTGACCCCTAAGTGGGTCAAAAGAGGAGAAATGTGCTCCCCCCATTGATTCCTATGCGGCTGCCAGGCAGCTGCCTCTCTGCACCCCCCATTTTCTGATTGGTCAGCTGCAGAGCTCAGTGTTCTGAGGTAAAAAAAAACTCTACAGGGGACTGCACAGAGCTAATGACAGTTGAGGAAATCAGGAGTGGCCAAGAACCACCTGTGAGGTGAAGCAAAGCTGCTGGCCCAGCCTCTCTGATGGCTTCCAATACACTCCCTCTACCTCCTACACCTAACCGGCGGTTGTCTGTCAGGTGCAGCCCCACCTCCACAGTAATTTCTCCCCCCCCCGAGGGACATCATAGATACATTCACACTGCACAAAAACCCATAAATGAATACAAAGCAAGGCCAGCAAATAAGGGGGGGGGGAAGAACCTCTTGAAACTGACAAACACATTTGAAATTGACAAAAGCACCATGGAAAGCTCATAGGACCCCCCCACACACAACACAGAAACAATGGGAGGGAGAGAAAAGAAAAGGAAAAAAAACAGTTCTGGGAGCCTGCAAATGCTGGCTCCCAATCTTCCCTGTTAATCCTGAATATTTCTGAGATTTGGGGGATTATTTGTTTGGCATCCTGAAAAATTCCCTGATATATTTGGGATGAAGTATTTTTGGGGTATTTTCAGCTCAGGTGTATCTGAATCCACACCCCCAGTGATGCACTGGAATTTTAAAAATCCTAACTTCAAAAATATATGCTGATGAGGTTTGAACTAACAGAGACTGAGAGGGAAAGCGATTTGGGAATTGCTGTAGATAGCGCAATGAAAATGTTGTCCTTCTGGATGGACGGACAGTGACTATCTTCATCTGAGAGCCAGTTTGGTGTAGTGGTTAAGAGTGGCGAACTATAACCTGGAGAACTGACTTTGATTCCCCATCCCTCCACATGCCCCCAGCTTGGTTACCTTGGGTCAGTCACAGTTCTCTCAGAGCTGTTCTCTCAAGAGCAGTTCTCTTGGAGCTCTCTCAGCCCCACCTACCTCACAGTATCTGTTGTGGTGAGAGGAACAGAAGGAGATTGTACGACTCTGAGTGAAGGGTGGGGTATAAATCCAACTCTTCTTCTTCTTCCTCTTCCTCGTCTATCCTTTCTTACATTCTCTCTCCTGCATCAGGAGCAAGTGAGTAAAAACTGCCACTGGCCAAAGATACCCTCTTCTCCTGGCAGAGGAAAGGAGCTGTGAGTCTGGAGAGGGATGGGGACAGCAGCTTCTGATGCCTGGAAGAGTGGCTTGCTGAGGAACGGGAGCCTTTCTCTGACCCAAGAAGTTTTCTTCCAGTGAGTGATAGGGTGCAAGCCAACAGTTTCCCAAAAGTTATATTATGGAATAACATAATTTTCTATCAAACTGGATCTTATGCACACTTATGAACACTAACTATAACAAGGTTGCTGCCATATACATCCTTGAGAGTAACTTAATGACACTTCTGAGTAAATATGCATAGTATTATGCTGTGCACACAGTAGAGAAGCCTAATGCATTCAAAACATACAGCTATACAACAGAGTCTCAAATATGAGCTCCCTGTCACTGTGTATTTATATGTACAGCATTCTTAGCCTTAAGCTGACAGAAATAGTATAAGACTCAGGCTTGGGAAGGTACCTTCATTACGGATTCCTGGGTTTTGTCAAAATATTTTCAATTCTGTAGCTGTCTTTCATTACGGTGGTCATAAATTAATTGTTTCAGTCAACTGCATTTTTATTGTTCCTGTTTTATAAGCTCAAAGACAAAATCAGTAACAAAACTTTTAAAACGGATTTTCCTAAGGAAAACAGTCATCCTCCCAGGCTTTCCCATACAGGTGTTGTTTATAGATAAAGAGTTAATAGACAATACTAAGCAGTCAAGTTTCATGACAGCGGCCTTCTGCAAACCTGTATCAGGTGTCAAGCTGTCTTTTCAACTATACTACTTAAGATGATGTGTAAAGTAAATGTAGTAAATGGTAACAAGCATCATAGAATCATAGAATGTAAGAGTTGGA